GATGAGGTGTCTGACTTCAAGAAGTTTCTAGTGTAGATCATAAGGGCATTAGGACTCATCATGGTATGCTACAGTGTTTGGGAATTTTTTCTAACAAAATTCTAAGTGGGTGCTATATATCTCTATATATATACAACATCATACATATATATGTAGTTATATAGATATATAATATATAATTAGATACTTATACTATATAAATATAACCATAGTATATATATTTATGTATATTAGATGTGCTCTGGTTGAAGCCAGAGCAAGGGGCCTTTCTTCCCCTCCCTCCTCTTTTGGCTCAGGGGCTCTTGAGGCACCACAGGATTCCAGTGCCCTTTGAAACAGGTTGAAAAGAACTGGCATCATTGAGAAAAAAGGACTTGACTTGATGTCAAAAAACCTCTCCAGAGTGTAAAGTCCTGTGCCCCCATTTACCAGCTATATTACCTTTGATCAGTTTTTCTAGCTCAGCATCAGTTTATTCATCTATAAATGTGGATAAAAATAATGTCTAAATCTTAGAATTGTGGTAAACACTAAATAAGATGATGGATGGAATCCCCAAAAAGCCATTAATAGGACTAGGAGAAGTGCCCCTGAGACTAGAGCTAGTACGATTTGAGCCTAGCTAATCACAGCTACCTGGCAGCAGTCCACCTTAGAAGGTAGACTTTTGATTCAGAACCTGGAGACACGTATCATCAATCCCTCCATATTTCTGACATTTCTTGGTTTTATGATGCTTACCACATTGCTTTGAGGAAATCTTTAGGAAAATACAAGTCATCAGGAATTAAGATGTGTCTGGGACGCCTGGGTGGCTCAGTCATTAAGCGTCTGCCTTCAGCTCAGGTCATGATGCCGGGGTCCTGGGATCGAGCCCCGCATCGGGCTCCCTGCTCCGAGGGAAGCCTGCTTCTCCCTCTCCCCCTCCCCCTGCTTGTGTTCCCTCTCTCGCTGTCTCTCTCCCTCTTTCAAAATATAAATAAAATCTGTAAAAAAAAAAAAAAAAAAAAAGGAAAATGAAGGTTCCGCGTATTAAACAAGAACTACTACTACTAGTACTCTCTCTTCCTCCTTAGACTCCGGCCGTAAGACTGTGACAAGCCGTTCTCTCAGTGACAGGGTCTTTTGTCAGGGTTCGAGCACTTGTCAGCACAACCAGTGCACAGCCCCACCTTCCGCAGAGCCAGGACAGCTCTTTGGAGTTCCCCTCATGGATGTGTGTGATAAAGACAACCTGCCCTTCCCAATTCTGGTAGGTCATCTCCTTTTGGTCTTCTAGAGCCCTCCTGAGGAGGGGAAACTCTGAGAGGCCACGTGTCCTCATCCAAATCTATCCCCAAATGGAGAAGTCATTAGACGGCCCCTGGCTTTGGCTGAGAAGCTCTGTTACTGTTATTTCAAGGAACAGAATCTGACTTAGGTCCAGCAGAGTCATGAGGCAAATACAACAGGAAAAGACATTCTTGTCCATTCCACTTGGGTTTTGTTTCCGCAAAGACCCACCGAGGCCTGTTCAGATCAGTCAAAATGACTGTGTGTATGTGAGTCTCTGAGAGTCCACCTCATCTTCACACTCTCCCTTCATTGCCTTCCTGCACTCACATGAGTCTCAAGTCTCCTTCAACGGAGTCTACTCAGTCTAACAACTGCAAACATCTGACACGAGCATAGACTCATCCTCTGGCAAATAGGAATCTGTTAATCCTAACAGAATATGTCAAATGAAAGCCACAGAGTTTGGCCTGTGTTGTCTCAAACTGCTGTAGTGAATTGTCAGTGTGGACCTTCACTGAGTATTCGGTGTCTCTGCAAGCACTGTACGGGATGTAGGGAACGTTCTCCTAGCTATGAAGAAATGTATCATATTAGCTACTTTGTTACCTGCTAGCTACTACCCCAGGTCCTTGCATCACAGCAAATTTAGGGGCTAGCTAGGATTATCATCCTCCACACTTCCTAACCGAATCAGAGAAGCCTCAGTACAGGATGTAAGTGACCCAGCTCACACAATAGATAAGTAGCATAATAGACTTCAGATCCGTTGGATTCCCTGAGTCCAGCCCTTATTAAGATTCTACACAGCAGAAAGAGGACATGAAGATAGAGCAAAAGACATTTTAAGACTCATGAGAAGGGAGGGTAATCAGAGAAGGAGAAGAGAGTTTCTGAGCCTGACTTTAAAAGAGGGAAGGAAATAGAACAAGTAGGAAAGGAGTATACAGTCACTTAAAGAGAAATAAACAAATGGGAAATGAGTATTCCCTAAATAGACTTCCATACTTGGGGAAGAGCATCTACGTAGGGGAATAATGAGAAAAGAATGGTAAAGTAGGAAACAGACGGTGATTCCGCAAAGGCCTTGAAGCAGAGAAGTTTGATTTAAGAGTGGAAACTCAATGGAAAGGAAAATCTGATTAAAAGAAGTGTTTAAAATGTTTCAGTGTATGACTGTAAAATGGATATTTCGGTAGAAAGTATATAGAGAGACACTGAAAAAAAAAAAAAAAACAACATTCTAAATTGACTTTGGTCCTTCCCGCTCTAAAACAGTGTACCATTACATTCCCCTCCTCTTTCAAAACGGAGGCAAGCTTATGCTCTGCGTTTGTGGATATGAGATGCCATATACTTTTCTTTTCTTCCTACAGGCTATGCTTTCCTTTATTAATCAAAAAGGGCCCCTCACAGAAGGCATATTCAGAAACTCAGCCAATATAAAATCCTGCCATGTCCTAAAGGAGAAACTAAATTCTGGGGTCAAAGTGAACCCGTACAGCGAATCTGTTCATGTGGTCGCATCCGTCTTAAAGGTAGGGAAGGTTCTAGCATTATCCACACACGAGTAACTGAAGCTATGATTGGTGTCCTTCATCATGACTGCTCAAGAACCATAACGGGCATAATAGATTAAGAACCTGACAAGCTGAAAAACGCTTGACAAAATCAAAATGTAAGGAAGCTACTTTAGGAGTTAAAAGCCCCATGTGTTAGAAATACTTTCCGTTTTCACTACACACCGCCCTCCCCACCTTCACTCCTGAAGACTCCATGCAAAATACTAATACTGAAATGACTACTAGTCATGATAATAAATTTCAAAATACGCACCGATACATACACACAGTTTACCCATGAAAACATCCTCACCACCCTCCTAATGAAGGCAAACTTTCCAAAAGAAATAGAACAGGGAAAGGATTTAATCCATCCACCTTGGCACTTATGAACAGCTCTGAACAACCCTATGTTAACGTGGTAAATGACTACAGTCATAGAATCTCAGTCACATTTGGTCTTCCCTTGTCCCCCGTTAATGTTCGAAGATGGGATCAATAGCAAGGTCCAGAAATGACTTAGGTAACCACTCCTACACTGGGGCCGTAGTGATATCCAGTAGTAATATACATACAGGCATCAGGAGACAGGAGAACAATGATGATACACTAGGTAGCAAGATGAGTGTTGCCCTCTGTAAGTTGCACACATGGAATCGATTTTCTAGCAAGAGTTAGGAGGTTCTTTCCTGATTCCGTGTTATAAGCACCGACTACGAAGAGGGTGAGCACTTGTGGGGAGAGTGCTTAGACATTTTTAAAGTTTTCTCTTCCTGAAGTTGACGGATCTTGGTGGAGAATCAGACTCTGCAACCTTGGCCTTATTAATATCATGGCAAACTAACTGGACAATTGTCCTAAACTAGAAATGAATCTATCCTCAGGACCACAGTGAGTCTGCCATTAGACTCTCGACTTTTAGACAGTTAAGAAAAGGAAGAATGAAGCAATTGTGAGAGTAGCTTTCTTCCAGGGAGCACGCATACCCTGAGTGAGAAGACCTACTTCTTTCCTAATATGTGTGGAAGAGCCCACCTGTTTGTGTTTTGATTGTTTCAGGCCTTTTCTTGCTAGAGTTAAGAGCTAGCACCTTGTCTAAAACAAGCAACATGGGTATGTGTATTTCTGTCCAGGAAGCTAATAGGATTTAGGATGGTCTATAGCCAGACCCTGTCAGTTTGTGGTACTTTGCAAAAAAAAAGCACACGCACAAAATAAGTTCCAGATGATAGAAGGGAGCTTTATCTTCATTTCCACTACAGGCTAAGCTCTGCTTTTTGCCTCTAAGTTTTAGCGGGAGAAAATCCAAGCACCTGCTCCTGCGTGTGCAAGTCAATGGAGAGTCAGAGCCGAGCTCCGTGTGGGTCCCAGTTTGGGTATCTGTGAAGGAAGTGGGGGCTGAACTAAATTTTTTAACTACATATTTTCTCTGGAATATTTCCAATACATAGTTTCTATAGTATATACAGATATATATATATTTTTTTTATCTCCCTAAGGACTTTCTGAGAAATATCCAAGGAAGTATATTTTTATCTGACCTCTATGACAAATGGCTCGGTGTTATTGATCAAGGCAACAAAGAGGAAAAGATAACTGCAGCCAAGAGGTAATGGTGCCATAATTACTCTACTCTGGTCACATCTCCAAAATACAGCCAACATACTATTAGGAAAACATTGGCTTACGTTTTGCAGCTTTGCCCACTATAATCATGACCAACGCCAAAGAGTTTCAATTCTTCACACCCATGGGGCCCAACTTCAGAATAGAGGCACGCTTTAGGGCTATTATTGTTCTTCTCCTGATCTTATTAATCTGGACTCCTTGGCCGTTTGACACCTTCTGGATCCATGAAACTTGTAGACGAAATTCCCTGGTTCAAGACACATGCAAGAGCATCAACTGCCAGGGGTATGACCTTAAAAGTCTGTCAAACATTTAACTAACCAGAGAAGTGTTTATCTGGCTCAGGAACTGAATTCAGTGCAACAATTTTGTCTACATTCATGCCTGGAACTCTGCTAGAGCGGGTTGTGTGCTAGATATACAAGGATGTATCCTGTTCCCTGTCTCTGTTTTTCCAACCTCCTAAGTGGAATCACTTGCCTAATTTAAAAGTGTGTTTTTCTGACCTTAGGCTTTTAGCCCAGCTGCCAAGAGCAAATGTTGTTCTCTTGCGATACCTTTTTGGAGTGCTATACAACATTGAGCAACATTCCTCATCCAATCAGATGACAGCTTATAATTTATCCGTTTGTATGGCCCCAAACGTTCTTTACCCACCTGATTCCGGCACCTTGGAATTGGAATACAACTTGATAAGAAAGGTAATGAGAGCTCTCATTTTTGTCCCCCAGGGGGTAGAATCCCTACTTTGAACCGGACATGTGCAGTAGTAACTCTGACGGATGGAACTTTGTGAAGTGCACATTTTCATTAGGCCCCTGTGGAGTGGCAGAGTTCTTTATGCTACTCTGGCGGGGTCTGGGAAGGGGTGTCGTTAAACGGGAAACTCGGAGCAGTCGAGTCACTTCTTCCCCCTCCAGGAGACTAAACACTAGACTGACTAAAGGAGAGAGAGAAGAGTCATGTGATACGATAGAAAAGAACCTGGGCTTTGGAGCTTCACCAGTCAAGGTTCAACTCTCAGCCTAATCCCTGAGGGAGTCGTAACCTTGGGCAAAGCCATGGTTTCCTCACTACACAATGGCGACAACAGCCAGCTCCTCCGGTCATCACTGGCACATCCTGGGTGGCTTGGGCAATATGAGCCCCCATGGCTCCAAACACATTTGCCTTCCTCTGCCAATTGTGGCTCATCTAGAAAAGTACTCGGCTACTATTTCACCTCTGCTACGTCATATAGAAACTAGCAAGAGATTCCAGAATATCCTAATAAGATGACAGGTCTTCCCCAAGCTCACCCAGAGAGAGCCAGCATGAGGCAAAGCAATGCGTGAGAAGGGACTGAAGTTAGACAGACAGATACGTTTTCTCTCCAGCTGTGTGGGTTTTCCCTCACAACCCCACCAAAATCCCTGCTTCCCAACTTTATGATACTTCTTAATTTAAGAAATGGTTTTCTTAAGTTGTCGTTCATACTTTATAAAATTTCATAAGATGGTATATATCAGTTACAGCTCAGTAAAACTGGAAACAAAATTTAAAAGCAAAAAATAAGTAAACTTTAATAAGGTAGGCTACTTTGAAAATTATCCTTGTTTATTTATATTTTGATATGTATTTATTTGAGAGAGGGAAAGAGAGAGCGTGAGCGGGGCAGGGGCAGAAGAAGAGGGAGAGGGAGAGGGAGAAGCCCAAGCCCATTCCCCGCTGATCACGGAGCCCAAAGTTGGCTCCATGTAGGGCTGGATCTCACCACCATGAGATAGTGATCTCCGCCGAAATCAAGAGTCAGACGCCCAACAGAGGGGCCCCGAAATTTATCCTAGGCTTAAAGACGTAACCACTGATCCCAAAATGTTAGCTCTTAAACTAGGCCACGTATTATAACCTTAGCCCACGGATGGGCAGTATTTTAAAATGTGTACCCAAAGTACACGGGAAAGTATCACTCTTTCTAAGTTATTTCTGAGAGAACTCTGGTTTCTATGTGTTTCTGTTTTTTTGTGTTTTTTTTAAACTTTTATTTATTTACTTGACTGAGAGAGACACAGCGAGAGAGGGAACACAAGCAGGGGGAGTGGGAGAGGGAGATGCAGGCTTCGCGCTTAGCAGGGAGCGCGATGTAGGGCTGATCCCAGCACCCTGGGATTATGACCTGAGCCGAACGCAGATGCTTAACCGACTGAGCCACCCAGGCGCCCCTGGTTTCTACATATTTTTATCAACTCTGAATTTTTCTGAGAAGTCCTTCCCATTTTTTCTTAGATCCAAGGTCTGTATACAAAATGTGATTTATAACTATGCCCTATGGAAAAGAGCACCCCATTCTTGTCTTTTTGTGTTACAGATTTGTTTTGTACAATTTCTCATTGAAAATTGCCTCAGGATATTTGGAGAAGACATCACTTCCCTCTTGGGCGAGAACTCAATGAGTCGTGCTAACAGCGAGAAGGCTGCAGGTACCGGGAGAAATTTAATTGGCTTTAGTGAGAAGCAGAGAGCAAGGTTACCAGGGGTCATGGGAGATGCTTAGACAGAGCTGTTCTGGAGCACAGAGCATCGCCAGGGCAAGGATTTCCATGTGCTCCTTCTTCCGAAGGCTGGCTCACAGGTCAAGGGAGGTTCCACACTGTTGTGAGACCAAAGAAAGGATAAGATGAGGTGTCTGACTTCAAGAAGTTTCTAGTGTAGATCATAAGGGCATTAGGACTCATCATGGTATGCTACAGTGTTTAGGAATTTTTTCTAACAAAGCTCTAAATGGGTATAACATCATACATATATATATAGTTATATATATATAATGAGATACTTATACTATATAAATATGTAATCAATATATATATATATTTATGTATATAAGATGTGCTCTGGTTGAAGCCAGAGCAAGGGGCCTTTCTTCCACTTCCTCCTCTTTTGGCTCAGGGGCTCTTGAGGCACCACAGGATTCCAGTGCCCTTTGAAGCGGGTTGAAAAGAACTGGCATCATTGAGAAAAAAGGACTTGACTTGATGTCAAAAAACCTCTCCAGAGTGTAAAGTCCTGTGCCCCATTTACCAGCTATATTATCTTTCGCCAGTTATTCCAGCTCAGCATCAGTTTATACATCTCTAAAATGTGGATAAAAATAATGTCTAAATCTTAGAATTGTGGTAAACACTAAATAAGATGATGGATGGAATCCACAAAAAGCCATTAATAGGACTAGGAGAAGTGCCCCTGAGACTAGAGCTAGTACGATTTGAGCCTAGCTAATCACAGCTACCTGGCAGCAGTCCACCTTAGAAGGTAGACTTATGATTCAGAACCTGGAGACACGTATCATCAATCCCTCCATATTTCTGACATTTCTTGGTTTTATGATGCTTACCACATTGCTTTGAGGAAATCTTTAGGACAATACAAGTCATCAGGAATTAAGATGAGTCTGGGGCGCCTGGGTGGCTCAGTCATTAAGCGTCTGCCTTCAGCTCAGGTCATGATCCCGGGGTCCTGGGATCGAGCCCCGCAACGGGCTCCCAGCTCTGAGGGAAGCCTGCTTCTCCCTCTGCCCCTCCCCCTGCTTGTGTTCCCTCTCTCGCTGTCTCTCTCCCTCTGTCAAAATATAAATAAAATCTGTAAAAAAAAAAAAAAAAAGGAAAAAGAAGGTTCAGCGTATTAAACAACAACTACTACTAGTACTCTCTCTTCTTCCTTAGACTCCGGCCCTATGACTGTGACAAGCCGTTCTTTCAGAGCCAGGGCCTTTTGTCGGGGTTGCAGCACTTGCAGGCACACCCAGTGCACAGCCCCACCTTCCGCAAAGCCAGTACAGCTCTTTGGAGTTTCGCTCATGGATATGTGTTATAAAGACAACCTTCCCTTCCCAATTCTGGTAGGTCATCTCCTTTGGTCTTCTATAGCCCTCCTGAGGAGGGGACACTCTGAGAGGCCACGTGTCCTCATCCAAATCTATCCTCAAATGGAGTAGTCATTAGACAGCCCCTGGTTTTGGCTGAGAAGCTCTGTTACTGTTATTTCAAGGAACAGAATCTGACTTAGTTCCAGCAGAGTCATGAGGCAAATACAACAGGAAAAGACATTCTTGTCCATTCCACCTGGGTCTTGTTTTCACAAAGACCCACCGAGGCTTATTCAGATCAGTCAAAATGGACTCTGTGTATGTGAGTCTCTGAGAGTCCACCTCATCTTCACACTCTCCCTTCATTGCCTTCCTGCACTCACATGAGTCTCAAGTCTCCTTCAGCGGAGTCTACTCAGTCTAACAACTGCAAACATCTGACACAAGCATAGACTCATCCTCTGGCAAATAGGAATCTGTTAATCCTAACAGAGTATGTCAAATGGAAGCCACAGAGTTTGGCCTGTGTTATCTCAAACTGCTGTAGTGAATTGTCAGTGTGGACATTCACTGAGTATTCGGTGTCTCTGCAAGCACTGTGCGAGATGTAGGGAACGTTCTGCTAGCTATGAAGAAATGTATCATTTTAGCTAGCATGTTACCTGCTAGCTACTACCCCAGGTCCTTGCATCACAGGAAATTTAGGGGCTTGCTAGGATTATCATCCTCCGCACTGCCTAAAGGAATCAGAAAAGCCTCAGTACAGGATGCATGTGCCCCAGCTCACACAATATATAATTAGCATAATAGACTTCAGATCCATTGGATTCCCTGAGTCCAGCCCTTATTAAGTTTCTACACAGCAAGGAAAGGATATGAAGTTACAGCAAAAGACAATGAAAGACTCATGAGAAGGGAGGGTAATCAGAGAAGGAGAAGAGAGTTTCTGAGCCTGACTTTAAAACAGGGAAGGAAATAGAACAAGTAGGAATGGAGTATACAGTCACTTAAAGAGAAATAAACAAATGGGAAATGAGTATTCCCTAAATAGACTTCCATACTTGGGGAAGAGCATCTATGTAGGGAATAATGAGAAAGAAATGCTAAATTAGGAAACAGACGGTGATTCCCCAAAGGCCTTGAAGCGGAGAAGTTTGATTTAAAAGTGGAAACTCAGTGGACAGGAAAATCTGATTAAAAGAAGTTTTTAAACTGTTTCACTGTATGATTGTAAAATGGATATTTGGGTCAAAACTATATAGAAAGACACTGAAAAAAAGAAACCAATCTAAATTGACTTTACTCCTTCCCACTCTAAAACAGTGTACCATTATATTCCCGTGCTCTTTCAAAATGCAGGCAAGCTTGTGCTCTGCGTTTGTGGATATGAGATGCCATATACTTTTCTTTTCTTCCTACAGGATATGCTTTCCTTTATTAATCAAAAAGGGCCCCTCACAGAAGGCATATTCAGCAAATCAGCCAATATAAAATCCTGCATGGTCCTAAAGGAGAAACTAAATTCTGGGGTCAAAGTGAACCCGTACAGCGAATCTGTTCATGTGGTCGCATCCGTCTTAAAGGTAGGGAAGGTTCTAGCATTATCCACACACGAGTAACTGAAGCTATGAGGCACACTTTAGTCCTTCAACAAGACTCCTCAAGAACCATAAAGGGCATAATAGATTAAGAACCTGACAAGCTAAAAAACCCTTGAGAAAATCAAAATTTAAGGAAGCTACTTTAGGATTTAAAAGCCCCATGTATTAGAAATACTTTGTTTTCACTACACACCGCCCTCCCCACTTTCACTCCTAAAGACTCCATGCAAAATACTAATACTGAAATGACTACTAGTCATGATAATAAATTTCAAAATACGCACCGATACATACACACTGTTTACCCATGCAAACATCCTCACCCCCCTCCTAATGAAGGCAAACTTTCCAAAAGAAATAGAACAGGGAAAGAATTTAATCCATCCACCTTGGCACTTATGTACAGCTCTGAACAACCCTATGTTAACGTAGTAATGACTACAGTCGTAGAATCTCAGTCACATTTCGTCTTCCCTTGTCCCCCGTTAATGTTCGAAGATGTGATCAATAGCAAAGTCCAGAAATGACTTAGGTAACCACTCCTACACTGCGGTCATAGTGATATCCAGTAGTAATATACATATAGGCATCAGGAGACAGGAGAGGAATGATGATACACTAGGTAGCAAGATGAGTGTTGCCCTCTGTAAGGTGTACACATGGAATCCATTTTCTAGCAAGAGTTAGGAGGTTCTTTCCTGATTCCGTGTTATAAGCACCGACTAGGAAGAGGGTGAGCACTTGTGGGGAGAGTGCTTAGACATTTCTAAACTTTTCTCTTCTTGAAGTTGACGGATCTTGGTGGAGAATGAGACTCTGCAACCTTGGCCTTGATACTATCATGGCAAACTAACTGGATATTGTCCTAAACTAGAAATGAATCTATCCTCAGGACCACAGTGAGTCTGCCATTGGACTCTCGACTTTTAGACAGTTAAGAAAAGGAAGAATGAAGCAATTGTGAGAGTAGCTTTCTTCCAGGGAGCACGCATACCCCGAGTGAGAAGACCTACTTCTTTCCTAATATGTGTGCCAGAGCCCACCTGTTTGTGTTTTGATTGTTTCAGGCCTTTTCTTGCTAGAATTAAGAGCTAGCAGTGTGCCTAAAACAAGCAACATGGGTATGTGTATTTCTGTCCAAGAAGCTAATAGGATTTAGGATGGTCTATAGCCAGACGCTGTCAGTTTGTGGTACTTTGCAAAAAAAGCACACATACAAAATAAGTTCCAGATGATACAAGGGAGCTTTATCTTCATTTCCACCACAGGCTAAGCTCTGCTTTTATGCCTCTAAGTTTTAGCGGGAGAAAATCCAAGCACCTGCTCCTGCGTGTGCAAGTCAATGGAGAGTCAGAGCCGAGCTCCGTGTGGGTCCCAGTTTGGGTATCTGTGAAGGAAGTGGGGGCTGAACTGAATTTTTTAACTACATATTTTCTCTAGAATATTTCCAATGCATATTTTTCTATAATATATACACATATTTTTTTTTATCTCCCTAAGGACTTTCTGAGAAATATCCAAGGAAGTATATTTTTATCTGATCTCTATGACAAATGGCTCGGTGTTATTGATCAAGGCAACAAAGAGGAGATGATAACGGCAGCCCGGAGGTAACGATGCATAATTACTCTACTCTGGTCACATCTCCAAATAATACCCAACATACTATGAGGAAAACATTGGCTTACATTTTGCAGCTTTGCCCACTATAATCATGACCAACGCCAAAGAGTTTCAATTCTTCACGCCCATGGGGGCCAGCTCAGAATAGAGGCACACTTTAGGGCTATTATTGTTCTTCTCCTGATCTTATTAATGTGGACACCTTGGCCGTTTTACACCTTCTGGATCCATGAAACTGGTAGACAAAATTCCCTGGTCCAGGACAGATCAAGAGCAACAACTGCCAGGGCTATGACCTTAAAAGTCTGTCAGACATTTAACCAACCAGGCAAGTGTGTATCTGGCTCAGGAACTGAATTCAGTGCAACAATTTTGTATACATCCATGCCTGGAACGCTGCTAGAGCGGGTTGTGTGCTAGATATACAAGGATGTATCCTGTTCCCTGTCTCTGTTTTTCCAACCTCCTAAGTGGAATCACTTGCCTAATTTAAAAGTGTGTTTTTCTGACCTTAGGCTTTTAGCCCAGCTGCCAAGAGCAAATGTTGTTCTCTTGCGATACCTTTTTGGAGTGCTATACAACATTGAGCAACATTCGTCATCCAATCAGATGAAAGCTTATAATTTATCCGTTTGTATAGCCCCATGCGTTCTTTACCCACCTGATTCCGAAAGCTTGGAATTGGAAGACAACATGATAAAAAAGGTAATGAGAGGTCTCATTCTTGTCCCCCAGGGGGTAGAATCCCTTCTTTGAACCGGACATGTGCAGTAGTAACTCTGACGGATGGAACTTTGTGAACTGCACATTTTCATTAGGCCCCTGTGGAATGGCAGAGTTCTTTATGCTACTCTGGCGGGGTCTGGAAAGGGGTGTCGTTAAACGGGAAACTCAGAGTGGTCGAGTCACTTCTTCTCTCTCCAGGAGACTAAACCTAGACTGACTAAAAAAGAGATAGAAGAGTCGTGTGATACGATAGAAAAAACCTGGGCTTTGGAGCTTCACCAGTCAAGGTTCAACTCTCAGCCTAATCCCTGAGGGACTCGTAACCTTGGGCAAAGCCATGGTTTCCTCACTGCACAATGGCGACAACAGCCAGCTCCTCTGGTCATCACTGGCACATCCTGGGTGGCTTGGGCAATATGAGCCCCCATGCCTCCAAACACATTGGCCTTCCTCTGCCAATTGTGGCTCATCTAGAAAAGTACTCGGCTACTATTTCACCTCTGCTACATCATACGGAAACTAGGAAGAGATTCCAGAATATCCTAATAAGATGACAGGTCTTCCCCAAGCTCACCAAGAGAGCCAGCATGAGGCAAAGCAATGCGTGAGAATGGACTGAAGTTAGACAGACAGATACATTTTCTCTGCAGCTGTGTGGGTTTTCCCTCACAACCGCACCAAAATCCCTGCTTCCCAACTTTAAGATACTTCTTCATTTAAGAAATGGTTTTAAGTTTTTGTTCATACTTCATTAAGTTTCATAAGATGTTATACATCAGTTACAGCTCAATAAAACTGGAAACAAAATTTAAAAGCAAAAAATAAGTAAACTTTAATAAGGTAGGCTACTTTGAAAATTATCCTAGTTTTATTTATTTTTTGATATGTATTTATTTAAGAGATGGAAAGAGAGAGGATGAGTGGGGCAGGGGCAGAGGAAGAGGGAGAGGGAGAAGCCTAAGCCGATTCCCCGCTGAACACGGAGCCCAAAGTTAGCTCCATGTGCGGCTGGATCTCACCACCATGACATCGTGATCTGCGCCGAAATCAAGAGTCAGACGCCCAACTGAGGGGCCCAGAAATTTATCCTAGGCTTAAAGATGTAACCACTGATCCCAAAATGTTAGCTCTTAAACTAGGCCACGCATTATAACTTTAGCCCACTGATGAGCAGTATTTTAAAATGTGTATCCAAAGTACACGGGAAAGTATCACTCTTTCTAAGTTATTTCAGAGAGAACTCTGGTTTCTATGTGTTTTTGGGTTTTTTTGTTTTTTCCTTAAACTTTTATTTATTTACTTGACTGAGAGAGACACAGCGAGAGACGGAACACAAGCAGGGGGAGTGGGAGATGGAGAAGCAGGCTTCACGCTGAGCAGGGAGCCTGATGTAGGGCTGATCCCAGCACCCTGGGATTATGACCTGAGCCAAACGCAGACGCTTAACCAACTGAGCCACCCAGGCGCCCCTGGTTTCTACATATTTTTATCAACTCTGAATTTTTCTGAGAAGTCCTTCCCATTTTTTCTTAGATCCAAGGTCTGTATAGAAAATGTGATTTATAACTATGCCCTATGGAAAAGAGCACCCCATTCTTGTCTTTTTGTGTTACAGATTTGTCTTGTACAATTTCTCATTGAAAATTGCCTCAGGATATTTGGAGAAGACATCACTTCCCTCTTGGGCGAGAACTCAATGAGTCGTGGTAACAGCGAGAAGGCTGCAGGTACCGGGAGTAATTTAATTGGGTTTAGTGAGAAGCAGACAGCAAGGTTACCAGGGGTCATGGGAGATGCTTAGACAGAACTGTTCTGGAGCCCAGAGCATCGCCAGGGCAAGGATTTCCATGGGCTCCTTCTTCCGAAGGCTGGCTCACAGGTCAAGGGAGGTTCCACACTGTTGTGAGACCAAAGAAAGGATAAGATGAGGTGTCTGACTTCAAGAAGTTTCTAGTGTAGATCATAAGGGCATTAGGACTCATCATGGTATGCTATAGTGTTTGGGAATTTTTTCTAACAAAATTTTAAATGGGTGCTATATATCTATATATATATATACAACACCATACATATATATGTAGTTATATATATATATATAATATATAATTAGATACTTATACTATATAAATATAACAATAATATATATATTTATGTATATTAGATGTGCTCTGGTTGAAGCCAGAGCAAGGGGCCTTTCTTCCCCTCCCTCCTCTTTTGGCTCAGGGGCTCTTGAGGCACCACAGGATTCCAGTGCCCTTTGAAACAGGTTGAAAAGAACTGGCATCATTGAGAAAAAAGGACTTGACTTGATGTCAAAAAACCTCTCCAGAGTGTAAATTCCTGTGCCCCCATTTACCAGCTATATTACCTTTGATCAGTTTTTCTAGCTCAGCATCAGTTTATTGATCTCTAAAATGTAGACAAAATAATGTCTAAATCTTAGAATTGTGGTAAAGACTAAATAAGATGATGGATGGAATCCACAAAAAGCCATTAATAGGACTAGGAGAAGTGCCCCTGAGACTAGAGCTAGTACGATTTGAGCCTAGCTAATCACAGCTACCTGGCAGCAGTCCACCTTAGAAGGTAGACTTTCGATTCAGAACCTGGAGACACGTATCATCAATCCCTCCATATTTCTGACATTTCTTGGTTTTATGATGCTTACCACATTGCTTTGAGGAAATCTTTAGGAAAATACAAGTCATCAGGAATTAAGATGAGTCTGGGGCGCCTGGGTGGCTCAGTCATTAAGCGTCTGCCTTCAGCTCAGGTCATGATCCCGGGGTCCTGGGATCGAGCCCCGCATCGGGCTCCCTGCTCCGAGGGAAGCCTGCTTCTCCCTCTGCCCCTCCCCCTGTTTGTGTTCCCTCTCTCGCTGTCTCTCTCCCTCTGTCAAAATATAAATAAAATGTGTAAGAAAAAAAAAAAAGGAAAAAGAAGGTTCAGCGTATTAAACAACAACAACTACTACTACTAGTACTCTCTCTTCTTCCTTAGACTCCGGTCGGAAGACTGTGAAAAGCCATTTTTTCAGAGACAGGGCCTTTTGGTGGGGCTCCGGCACTTCCCAGCACACCCAGTGCACAGCCCCACCTTCCGCAAAGCCAGGACAGCTCTTTGGAGTTTCCCTCATGGATGTGTGTGATAAAGACAACTTGCCCTTCCCAATTCTGGTAGGTCATCTCCTTTTGGTCTTCTACAGCCCTCCTGAGGAGGGGAAACTCTGAGAGGCCACGTGTCCTCATCCAAATCTATCCCCAAATGGAGAAGTCATTAGACAGCCCTTGGCTTTGGCTGAGAAGCTCTGTTACCGTTATTTCAAGGAACAGAATCTGACTTACGTCCAGCAGAGTCGTGAGGCTAATACAACAGGAAAAGACTTTATTATCCATTCCACATGGGTCTTGTTTCCACAAAGACCCACCGAAGCCTGTTCAGATCAGTCAAAAAGGACTCTGTGTATGTGAGTCTCTGAGAGTCCACCTCATCTTCACACTCTCCCTTCATTGCCTTCCTGCACTCACATGAGTCTCAAGTCTCCTTCAGTGGAGTCTACTCAGTCTAACAACTGCAAACATCTGACATGAGCATGGACTCATCCTCTGGCAAATAGGAATCTGTTAATCCTAACAGAATATGTCAAATGAAAGCCACAGAGTTTGGCCTGTGTTATCTCAAACTGCTCTAGTGAATTGTCAGTGTGGACCTTCACTGAGTATTCGGTGTCTCTGCAAGCACTGTACGGGATGTAGGGAACGTTCTCCTAGCTATGAAGAAATGTATCATATTAGCTACTTTGTTACCTGCTAGCTACTACCCCAGGTCCATGCATCACAGCAAATTTAGGAGCTAGCTAGGATTATCATCCTCCACACTTCCTAACCGATTCAGAAAAGCCTCAGTACAGGATGTATGTGCCCCAGCTCACACAATAGATAAGTAGCATAATAGACTTCAGATCCATTTTATTCCCTGAGTCCAGCCCTTATTAAGACTCTACACAGCAGAGAGAGGACATGAAGATAGAGCAAAAGAGAATTTAAGACTCATGAGAAGGGAGGGTAATCAGAGAAAGAGAAGAGAGTTTCTGGGCCTGACT